TGTAGAATGGGACTGACATCAGGGTTGTGGTAAGACTGAGAAAAACTGGATAAACTATGTATGCTCCATTGAAATAGATGAAGGAGAGAACAATTTAAAAGTGATATATGATTGGGTATTATAGTTATCACAAGAGTCCAGAATTAAGGTTACATAGTGGAGTGTACTCGAGGTGGTGCAGGGGGTGATGGTGCAGGGGGATTGTATATCAATGAAAGAATTTTATGTTTCAAAGAGAGGCGTGAACTGGGTGGGAGGGCTGGGCACGGAGAAAAGTGCAACAATGAATGAATGGAAAATCCAAAATCTCTGTAAATGTTCATTAAAATTAATAAAATAAAATAAAAACTCCAACCATTTCCATGTAAGTTTAAGAACTATTATTCTGGAATATGATTGAGATTATCTTACTAGACCTTTGGGGGGAAAAAAAGAATGCTGAGCTTTGCCTCACATACTTTGGGCATGTTGCTAGGAGACACTATTCCTTGGAGAGGGACATGATGCTTGAAAGTGTGGAGGGTCAACAAAGGAGAAGAATACCTTTGACTAGTTGATTGATGTCATGACTGCCACAGTGGGATGGTTGTAGTGTGTCAGGATGTGTGAAGAAGGCACAGGATAGGACAGGGTTCTGATCTGTCATTTATAGGGTCACTGTGAGTCATACTCAAATCGACAGCACCTAACAACAACAGCAGATGGAAATGCTTTGTCAGATATATGTTTAAAGAGACATTTCCCCCACTGTGGCTTTAATTTTCATTTTCTTAATGTTATCTTCTAATAAACAAAAGGTTTTAATTTTTATAAAGTCCCAGTTTATCAATTTTAAAATTTTGTAATGTTTGCTTTTTTATTACTATTTAGAAACCTTTGCATAAACCAGGTAATAATGATTTTGTTTTATGTTGTGTCCTAGTTTTATATTTTTTATGTTTAGGTATCTGGTCCATTTAGGGTTACTTTTAATATATAGTGTGAAAATTCAGCTACTTTAGAACGTTTTAAGGGAGCTCTGGTGGCTTAGTGATAAGAAGCTGTGGTGCCAACCCAAAAGCACCTTATTCAAATCCACCAACTTCTCCGCAGAAGAAATATGGACAGTCAACTCCCATGCCTGCAATTTACTGCCTCTGAAAACCTGCTGGAGGGTCAGCCATGAATTGGTTCCAACTCCATGGCACATAACAAGAATAATACTATTTATTGAAAAGACTGTATATTCCCCATTGAATTACCCTTTAATTAAAAATTACTTCACTACAGAAGTGGGAGGCTCTGTGTAGAAGGGAGCTCTTGTGGTATAGTCTGTAGGGAGTCACACAGCTAAGCCAAGGTCTCACCTCTTTAGCTTTTCTCTGTTGTGGAACAACTGTCAGAGTCTCTTCTGACATGTGTTTTGGTTCTCTTTGTTTCTTGACTTTTTACTTCATGTTTGATGTACTTTAATTTATTCCACAACTCACTCTGGTTATGATGTTTAATGCTTCAAACCTATTCTTAAAATGGTTTCTAAAATCAGATGGGATATGCTCAAGGTCATACTTTGATTCTATGGAAATATTTTTAATCTCTACAGCATCAATTTGAGCTTGCATACGTACAATTGATAGCCTTTTGCACAGTTGGCCCCTGGCTTTATTTTTATCCACCATCTCTGTCCACAAATGTACATAGTTTGATCTTGATTATTCCATCAGGTAAGGGCCATGTGTATAGTCATCACTTATACTTTTTAAGATTTTGCCTTCAGTTTTAAAATCTTGTGAGAAAGTGATGTATTTGGTTTAATTACGTTTAGATACTCGTTGCTGATTTAATCTTACATGACTGGGTCATATGGTATAATGAACTGACAAGGGCCTATGAGACTAAATCTTTTCCTTTACAATGGTAGATCCATTTGGAGCAATGATTGGTATGCCTTCTATGCCCACAACGTTTTAGTTCAAATCTTTAAAAATTATAGAAGCAGGATTAACAAACTCAAGTGTAAAACTATGTTGCTGTATTTATTTGGAGAACATCAGTTAGGGCTATAATAAGTTTTCATTAAGCCTGTACTTCAATATTCAGAGAGTTCCTGAAGTAACTGTAATTTGAAAATAAAAATCAGAGTTCAGAGAATTATACTTACAGAAATTATACCTATAGAAATGCTGTATCTTTTCAGAAAGTTGATCTTGTAAACTGCTATGAAAATTATATTTCTTTTCTTTCCCAAATAGGCCAAAAATAAGTTTAATGCAAAGCAATCAAAGGAAGCTGAAATAAATTATTGCAGACTTACTGAAGCTATTGCAGCTGAAAAAGATAAAGAATTCCAAAATTATGCAAGAGAAGTAATTGAATCAGAGTCCCAATCAACAAAGAAATATATTTACCCTCTTGTAAAAGCTGCACAGGAAGGACCTGGAGGTGGTCGTGGGCCAGTGTTTGGGCACAGATATGGATTAAGACCCAGCTATCAAGTAAATGATGCCACTGGAGTTCAGCTCCCTAGTTATAGCTCTCAGGGATCCAAATGTAATGATTTTCAAAAGTCTAAGGGAAGACTAGGTTTTACATGGTAGAAAAATTATTTTGATTGAAAAGACTTAGTAACTTGTAGCAAATAATATGAGCTACAAAGGTAAATGAATTATATACCTAAATTTCTTAATAAAACTACTCATTTGAGAACAATTATGCTTAATATTCTTCACAGTATTTCCATTGGATATCTAAAATCTCAAAGCTCATAGTTTCTTTCTATTGTAATAGAATTATACAGGAGATTTACCATTTAAACTAAACATGTATAAAATTGTACAAAAGAATGGTTGTAAAGAATATATATTACAAAAGAAAATTCATACATCCATGTTTATCGCAATATTTTCACAATATTGAAGAGATGGAAGCAGCCCAAGTGCCTGTCAACAAATGAATGGGTAAAGAAATTATGGTACATCCAGACAATGGAATAATGCAGCACTGAAAAATTATCAACATGTAAAACACTATACAGCACAGATTAGTCTAGAAGACAATGCCGAGTGAAATATCTCAATCATGAAAAGGCTAATACTGTATATGACCACTGTTATAAAAATAGGAAGGACATAGGAGAGGGGAGAGCATGGAAAGATTGGATAGATAATAACTACAATATTAGAATGGGCGAAGGGACAGACCATCTGAAGTGAATGAATGGATGATTAGACACTGTATATGGCAACTGACAATCAGGAAGAAGACATGCATTACAAAGTGAATTGAGGGAAGGGAGAGGGAGGGAAGTGTATTAATGAAAACCTATCCTTTCCATAAGCTTTTCACTAAAATAACAATAAAAACAATTTTTAAAACTAAAAACAAATTATAGACATATAATTAATAAAAATGCTTTTTAAGTACAATTGTTTAATATTCTTCACAACATTTCTACTGGATATATAAAGCCCCAAAGTTAAGTGACTTATGCTTTTTTTTCATCATGACAAAATTATAATAGTTCATATTTTAACTATTTAAATGTATGTAATTGAATGGCATTCATCATATTGTGCAACCTTTACCATTATCAAGTCCAAAAAAGAAAAAGAAACCTGGTGCCACTGACACTCCCCATTTCTTGCTGCCCCTAATCTCTGGCAGGCACTAATCTGCTTTTAGTCTGTCTGAGTTTTCATACTTTGGATATTCTATGTCAATTGAATCACCCAATATGTGGCATGAGTGAGGGTTTGTGTGCACTGCAGCAGGTATTTGCAGGTCATTTTGTGGTGACATATTTCATTCTACAAGAAATTAAAAGACGTGCTGCATTGAGAAACTCTTTTTGTTAAGAAACCCTTACAATGAGAGAAAAACAAGGATGTCCGTGTAAAGACTAAGATGTGCCTAGTCCAAGTTGCTCCCTGTGCATCTGAAAATTGGATCATGAATAAGGATGACAGAAAAATGAATGCCTTTCAGTTGTGGTGTTAGCAAAGAATATGGAGTCTCCCATGGACTGGCAGAAGAACAAACAAGTCTGTCTTGGAAGAAGTGCAACCAGGGTGTTCATTATTGTTGTTATGTGCCATCAAGTCGCTTGCGACTCATAGCGACCCTATGTACAACAGCCCTAAACTCAGCTCTATCCTGTGCCAATCACACTCTTTGACACTCCCATCCCGATTAACCAAGTCACTGAATCAATCCACCTCATAGAGGGCCTTCCCCTCCTGCACTGTTCCTCCACCCTCCCAAGCATGGTGTCCTTCTCCAAGGACCGGTCTCTCCTCACAACATGTCCAAAGTACGTTAGACAGAGCCTCAGAATCCTTGCCTCCAAGGAGCCACCCGGTTTAACCCTTTCCAGGACAAATCTGTTTGTTTTCCTAGCAGTCCATGGTACATTCAATACTCTTCTCCAGTACCACAGCTCAAAGGCATCAATTCTCCTTGGTCATTGTCCAACTCTCTGATGCATAACAAGTGATTGTGAAGACCATGGCCTGTATCAAACGCACCTTAATCTCCGGAGAGACACTATTGCTCTTCAGTACTTTGGAGAGGTCCCTAACAGCAGACTTTCCCATGGCAATGTGCCTTTTAATTTCCTGGCTACTGGTGCCAAGAGTGTTGACTTTGGAGCTATGCAAACTAAAGCTGTGAACAATCTCAATCTCTTCACCATCCATCCTGATGCTGCCAATTGGCCCAGTGGTGAGAATCTTTGTCTTCTTAACATTGAGCCTCAATCCATATTGTAGGCTTCAGTCCTTGACCCTCTGCAGCAGGCGCTTCAGGTCCTCCTCCGTTTCAGCAAGCAGGGTTGTGTCATCTGCATAACGCAGGTTGTTGATAGGTCATGTTTATTACAGGAAAGAATATTTAAATTAATCTCACATACTTTGGGCCTGTTGTCAGGAGAGACCAGTCTTTGGAAGAAGACACCATGCTGGAAAAGATTAGGGTTAGGCTGAGTGTTAATGATGTATTGACACAGTGACTACCACGATGGACTTGAGCATGTCAGAGATAGTGTCGATGGCACAGGAGAAAACAAGGTTCAGTTGTAAATAGCATTACCGTGAGTCAGAGATGATGCAAAATCACCTACCCTAACAGCATATTTCTTGTATGGACTAGCCACATTCTGCGTTATCCATTTATCTGTGATTCGACATTTGGATTGCTTCCTTTTGGTGATTAGTTTTTAAAATGCCTATGAACATTTTTGTACAAGATTTTTTTAAAATCGATTTTCAGTGTTTTGTGTGTGCGTGCATGTGTGTGTGGTGTGGTCTGCAGGGAGTTGCACTGGTAACCCAATGTTTTTAATCCACCAGCAGCTCCACAAGAGAAAACGGAGCAATCTCCTCCCATGTGATTTCTCTGCGGAAAGGTCCACTTTGAGTCAATTCTGACTCAAAGACATTGAGTTTGCGTTTTGGTGTTGATGTAGGAATTTCTGAATTGTATACTAATTTGAGTGGCTGCACCACTTTATATTCACACCAGCAATGTTTGAGGGTTGCAAAAATATTTCTTTATCAGCAGTAAAAGCAAAGTTCAACAGCACTGTAAACAGCAAATGCTAACAAGATTGTCGAGAGACTGGAACACTTATTCACTGCTGGTGGGAAGGAAAATGGTACAGCCACTATGGAAGGTGGTCTAGTGCTTTTTCAAAAAGTAGGGAATAGAAATACCATTTGACCCAGCAGTTCCATTACTGGGAATATACCCTAAAAAATACCAGAGACATGACTCAGATGTACACACACCCATATTTATTGCTATGTTATTCACAATAGAAAAGATATGGAAGCAACTCAAGTGCCCATCCACAAATGAAAGGATAGGAAAACTGTTTTTTTCACAATGGAGTATTATGCAGCATTGAAAAACAATGAACTTATAATAAATTACACTATATGGGGGAGTCTGGAGGACACTATGCTGACTTAAATATCTCAGTCACAAAAGGAGAAATACTGCATAACATCAACATTATGAAATAGGACAGACATGGGTTTGGGGAGAGAATGGGAAGAGTAGATAGATAGTGAATACAGCAATTAAATCAGATGAGGGGAAGATATATGAAAGGAATATATGATTAGGCATTACATGTATAACATCAGTCTGGAACAAGGAGTGCATTGTGGGGAAGGATGAGGGGAGGAAGAGAAGAAAATGTGCAGCAATAAAAAAAATTAAAAAGCAGTTATGTAGCTTAGTTCTACTGATGCAGCAGAAGGATGGGAAATCACCTCCCATACAATTAACTGCCTCTGAAAACCCATTGGAGGGTCAGCTATTGGTCAGTTCCGACTTGACGACAGCACACAACAACTCCAATACATTAGAATCAACTCAACAGGAACTGATGATCCAAACAAATGTAAGGAGCTGTTCAAAGATTGAATAAATGAGCTCGCCCCCAACCTCAACAAACATGAAGTATAGTAACTGTTGTCTTGTTAACTTGAATACATCACCTTAACTTAGCTTGCTGGGACTTAAAAAACAATACAAAAAACAAAAACCACCAAAACCAAACCCACACACACAACAAGTTATTAATCAGATGCCAAAATAGAAAAACCTGTCTATAGGTCTTTGTGGCTTTTGATGTTTCCACTCTTACTTGCACTGCGTGCTTGGTTTGTACATGGGTACCTGTGATCATGTAATCAACTCCAATGTTCCCATGAAAATTAAAACACATTTTATTTAAAAAAATATTTCTTTACATTCCTGTCAACATCCTCTAGCTACCCTAGTGGATGTAAAGAAGCTATTACTGTGGTTTTGATTTGCATTTCCCTGGAGGGTCGCGATGTCCAACATCTTGGGTTGGTAAATTCTTTAGAGAACTCTGCATCACCAGGGCTCTTTTGTGGACCTTGTGCAGTTAGTTAAAAAGTCTTTTAGAAGATAAGGGAGATCTGGTGGTTTAGTCCATAATTTCATTTTGCTTGGATCCACAGTCAAGCAAATTGTTATAGGAAAGTCAAGGACTGCAATCTTCAATACGGACTGAAGCTCAACTGCAAGAAAACAAAGATTCTCACCATTGGTCCAAATGGCAGCATCATGATAGAAGAAGAAGAGATTGAGATTGTTAACATTTCTGCTTACTTGGGTCCACAATTAACACTCTTGGCACTAGCAGTCAGGAAATAAAATATGAATTGTATTGGGAACATTTGCTGTCAGAGACCTTTCCAGAGCAACAATGTCAGTCTAGAGACTAGGGTGTGCCTGATCCAAGCCAGGGTCTTCACAATTGTTTGCTACACACCAGAGAGCTGGACAATGACTAAAGGTCAAAAGAAAAATTAATGCCTTTGAAGTGAATGGAGAATAATTTTGAACATTATCATGGATTGCCAAGAGAACAATCAGGTCTGTCCTGGATTAGGTAAAACCAAGCTGCTCCTTGAAGACAAGAATTTTGAAGCTCCATCTCACATTGTTCGGGCATGTTGCAAGGAGGGACCAGTTTTGGGGGAAGGACATGATGCTTGGTAGGATTTAGGGAGGGTCAGCACAGGAAGAGGAAGACCCTTTATGAGGTGGATTGACACAGTGA